GGGCGGAGGGGCGGGGCGGGGGCGTGGTTTTGGCGGGAAGGGGCGGGGCCTCGGGACCGGGTTGGTCCAAGAGCTTAAACAAGTGTGGTTTTTGCGGCAAGATGAAGGCGCTGGGGTGCGATGGCCTTGTAATCCGCCCATGAGGGAATTTTTATGTCATACAAGGCCATTACCTCCTCGTGGGCCCCTTTATCTCTTCCCGGACACTGATCTGGTGCTAAGGTCTCGAATGCTTAGTGACGAATGAAATCACCTCTACCTTGATCATTGTCATCTCCAGAAGTTTGGGGACTATTCAGGATCATAAAGGAATGATGAGCAGGCTTTACTCTGGTGCCGAGTATGTAGAATTTATTTACTGCGAATACAAGGAGTTACATACAGAATTAATGAAACATAATTTTAAAAATGACAATGAATCGGAGGGCAAAGGAAATAATTCACACAAGAGAAAATGCAGCTGGTGACCAAGGTGTAGAATAATGTTCAATCTCGTTGTTAATTCAGATAAAAGCAAGAGGGTTCTGCTTTGCACCCATTAAGGAAAACGAAAAGCTAAGAAGTTAATACCAAATGATAGTAAGAATGTGAAATAAAATTGGTGCTCCTCGGCGCTCCTGGAAGCAGTATGAATTTCTACGATTATTTGGAAAGTAGTTTGGGTAATATGAACTGTGAATGCATGACCTTTGACCCAGTAGTTTTATTTCATAGAATTTGTATCAGGCCAGTAATCACACAAATGGAGGAAGGATTAATCACAGTATAGGGCAATATACGGCAATAAAACTATAGGGCAGTAGTCCACATCCAGCACCAGGAACAGTCAAAATTGTGTATCTACTGTAAAGATGTGCATGTAACCATGGTTTAAAAAAAAGGCAAGGGGCCGGGTGTGGTGGTGCACGCCTGTAATCCCAGCACTCGGGAGACTGAGGCAGGAGGATCGTTGTGAGGTCGAGACCAGCTTGAGCTACAAAGTGAGCTCAAGCCAGCCTGAACTGCATAGCAAGACCTTGCCTCAAACAAACAAACAAAAAACAAAACAAAACAAAAAAAAGGCAAGGAAGTAGTATTCCTAAATATTTCCCCTACTTCTCCACATTTTTTTTTTTTTTTTTTGTCTTTTTGAGACAGGGTCTCACTATGCTATTCAGGCTGATCTTCAGCTCACTTGAAGCCCAAACTGGCCTCGAACTCTCAACGATCCTCCTGCCTCAGCCTCCCAAGTGCTGAGATTACAGGCATGCACCACCACTCCTAGCTTATCCACATTCTTTACTGTGGTTATATTACTCTTCACCTTAGGGATTGTCAAACAAGGACTACGTCTCCTTTGCATGGAATTAAATATTGTTTTAGTGGCAGTGAATACACCTGGACAGGCCACACCGAGGCACAGGCTTGCTGTAAGACTACTCCACTACTACTCCACTTCAGCCTCTTCCTGTGGATGGAGGTGGGGCAGTAGCTTGGGTGGGGGTGGGTCCTGTAAACTCCCTGAGCCCACAGGAGCACCCTAGGCTGATCACCCACTCTCTGATGGTTTCACTCCAGGGGAGATGTTAAAGGTTCCTGGACATTCAGTCAGAATATTCTTTCATAAGGTTTGGAACAGTAGTTAATGGTTTATTTGTAGTATGCAAACCTAACCTTGAAACAGGAAGGGATTTCGAACAAAAGGACTTTAAAGGATTTAAGTGGTACATGTTCTCTTTTCTTATGGAAGAAATGTCACCCTCCCTTGTTAGTGATACAAAGCCCTTGCCATTACTTGCTAAAGAAAGTGGAACCTGCTCCCCTGGGACGGCACGCAAGCATTACAGGTGGGTGTAAGTGCCCTGTGGGGCAGGCCTGGGAAGGTCGTAGGCTCTAAAGACATTTCCTCAAAGGTCTTCCATAATATTTTTTGTACTGTTCTGTCGGATTCCAGAATGCACTAGGTGGTGGTAAAAGTAAGAGCAAGTCTCTGGAGTCACCCTGATCAGGGTCTGAATCTGGATTTTACTACTTTGTGATCTTGGGTAAGCAGCTCTTCTCCTGTGTATAAATGCAGTGTGTGAGAGTAGGTAAGATTATACCTGTCAAGTTAGTAGCACACTGTCTCACACATAGCAAACAGCCTGGAAGTGGTAACCCTGTCTGTAGTTATTCTAAATAAGATCCTATGTGTAACTAACTGTATTAGGGTGTGAGTGTCAGGAACCTGCAATTTCTAGAGCTATAAATTACAGTACTTTGGGAAATTCAATTTCCCACACTCCACCCATGGCTTCTACCTGTGGGGAGCGGCTGAAGCTGGAGAAGGATCAAAGTCTGGGGCTGGAGCAAGGCTCTCTGAGAGCAAAGAGTGCCCAAGGTGAGCTACAGGAGCAAGCTGCTCCAGTCCAGAGATACCAGGTGCCCAAGGCAATCCAAGCAATGGGTTGTAGGCAGGGAGTCTCATGTGCCATCAACCTGCTGAATGTGTAAATAAGCGCGCAGTGATGGTTGAGCAGTTCCTTTTCCTCCTGTCTGGAGAGAGGGCACCACCTGATCCCAGCTTTCTGTACCTTGTCTTCATTTCTTCACCTTCTCACTGCCCTTCATGGTAGAGCCTCGTGGACCTCAGCACCTCCCTACTGCACTGTGTTGCAAAGATTTACTCAGTGGAAGAGACCATCTGGGCGAGGCAGAAAACATGCCTGGAGCAATTCTCTGCCAGGTGCCCCTTCCATGCCACCCTACCTGAGAGCCAGCCAACTATGGACTGAAACCTCTACAAACTGAGCCAAAATACATCTTTCCTCCTTACAGTTGTCGGTGTCGGGTATTTTGTCTCAACCATGAAAAAGTAGCTAAGACATTAGATATAAAGACCTCGGGGGTGATTTTTCTAGTAAATCCCAGCTGTTGTGTGCAACTTCCTCTCCTTGTCTTTTCTGCTGTGTTAAAGGAGATTGGAGGAGCTGTGTGCCAGAAACAAGGACGCTTGTCCTGATCGTGACAGCAACAGATTTCCACATGATTGACAGGAACGCCTGGACTAGTCACAGCAGGAAGCAGGGCAGAACTGCCTCCCTGGGCACTCCCGACCCTGAGACGCAGGGCAGACTTCCACGGGGAGAATCTGGCCCTGGGACTCTTTCTTTTTTTTCCATACTGTCCCTTTGTTTTTTTTCAAAAGTACACAAGGAAAATCTTACAGACATGTAGTACATTTTAAATGATCATGAGTACCTAGTGTCTGCCCCCAGAAATATTACTGTTAGGTTATATTTTAAAAACTTGGGACTGAATTAAAATAAAAGATTTAAAATGGATTGATTCTTCTCTATATTTTCTCCAAATGGAAGTTAAAGAGTAAAAAGATATGGCCTCAAATTTGGTTTTATAATAAAGAAAGACAGTAAACAAATATATTAGTCAGTTTTACTAGAGAAACAGATATAACATATATACATGTCTAAGAAATTACAGGATTGGCTTATGATGATCAGCCAGAGTTGGCTGGAGTACACAGCACATTTCTGAGATCTGACATGGACACTATCACAGAACTGTAAACACCAGAGGGATTTTACTTCTTTTATTTTCCTTTGTTTGTCTGTTTGACTGTCCCTTTCCTGTCTGGTTAGATGTCATCTTGTTTTGTCTTGTATTTTGTGGTTATCTTTATTTTTGGATTTTTTTTTCCTTTTCTCTCCTGTCTTTGAGTCTACATTTTTTTCCTTTTCTTTCCATTCTTCTTTTCTTTCTTCTTTCTTTTTTTCATTATTTAGATTTCTTAATTCTTTTTTGCTTTCTTCTATCGCTCTTTTCTAAACTACTTTTTGAATTTAAACTTTCAAGTGAGGAAACATTGTCTCTTCCCTTTCTGATTACTCCTTCACATTCTATTTCATTCTTTCCCTCCTGTGTCTTCTAGTTTCTTAAAACTTGGGTGATCATCCTTTGATCTCCAGCCTTGGCTCTACTATATTTGACATCATTCATTACTTTATCCTGTCCCCTTACCCATCTTAACCTCCGACAAAAGGGTAAAAACACTCCACTAAGGGGAAAATTACTGCATACAGCTACATGGTATATGCTTGATTTTGTCTTATAATTTTAGAGTTTGCTCCTGTGGTTGGAAGTAGCAGGATAATGGTTGCCATAGTTTGTCAGTAGTTAAGCTTTACTTGAAAATATTGTTATTACTAACCGTACTACTTTAGCCAGGATGTCATACATGTTATAATCAGTTTTTCTCCCCTGTATAACACTGTGATTCTATGGAGTCATAATCACCACCACAACCCAGTACCAAAGCACTGCATGCTGAGCCAAAGAGTAACACTGTATCCTTTACCAATTGGGAAGGTAGGTTCTTGGGATAGCTATAAAGAACCGCATACATGTGGAGAACAACCTTGAGAACAGACATCTCCTACAGAAGCCTCAACTCTAGTGACAAAGCTATCTAGCATAATAAATTGGCAACCATCAACATAGAAAACAAAACTGAAAAGACAAAATAGAAAACGATAAGATGCAGAAGCAAAATGCAACCCCATATCCCTGGCCCACCCAGCCCAGAGAAAGGTGATATAGACAAAATTGGAAGTCAAACACTGGAACTTTTTGAAATAATAGCAACAGAAGTGAAAAAATAAGTAGAAAAGGCTATAGAGAAAATAATCTCTCGGGTACAGAAAGAAATGATGCTTGAAATCAAAGATACTAGAGAAGATACAAATAAAAGAATAGATGAGCTTAGAAAAATGATGGAAGCAAAAAATGCCTAACATAGGAATTTTTTTTAGTAGTTTTTTTTTTTTTTTTTTTTTTTTTTGTTTTTTTTTTTTTTTTTTGCTACTGGGAATTGAACTCAGGACTTTG